ATAAAACAAATACTAACATTAACCAAAACTTTTCAGAAAATATAAAAAGAAATAATTTCCAACTCTATGAAGCCAATATTATTCTGATACAAAATTATGAAAAAGCATCTTTCATAAACATAAATTTAAAAAAAGCACTCAGCAAAATATTAGCAAACCTAATCCATCAATGTTTAAAAATGATAATACATCACATCCAAGTTAGGTACACTTAGAGAATGCAAGGCTGATTCAACATTTGAAAATAAATAAACCTAATTCATCTTCTTAACAGATCAAAGAAGATACACCACATGATCATCTCAATAAATAGAGCAAGAAAACTTGAGCAAACTCAATGTCTAGTCATGATAAAAACTCTCAGCATTCTAGGAAGATAATGGGAATATCCTTAACTTAATAAAAGGCCTATTACACTTAATGTAATAACATATCATATATAATAATATATAAGTTGATAAAAGGCCCTTTATACTTAATAATGAAAGACTGAAAGCTTTCCTCTTAAGATCAGGAACAAGACAAGGATACCAGCTCTCACCACTCCTGTTCAATATTATGCTGGAGGTCCTAGCCAGTGAAATAAAGGAGGAAAAAGGTTATATACACAGAAATAAAACTTCTATATTTGCAAATGACGTATTTACATAGGAAAATCCTATAGAATCCGCAAGGGGAAAAAAAAAAGCTAGAGTAAGTGAATTTAGCAAGGTTGCTGGATTCAAAGTTTACAAAAACCAACTGTATTTTTATATACTATCAATGAACGGCATACTAAATTTTAAGAAAATTACCATTTACAATGGTATCAGAATAATATACTTATATATAAATCTAACAAAATATGAGGACCAACATCTGTATGCTGAAACTATAAATGGTGATGAAAAAAATCAGAGATTTAAATAAATGGAGCTACCCTGTGTTCACTGATTAGAAAACTCAACATTAAGATGTGATTTCTTCCCAAACTGATCAATGCATTCAATACAATCTAAATGAAAATCCCCTCAGTATTCTCTGTAGAAAACAAAATATCACTTTAAAAAAAAAAGTTATGGAAAAGCAAAGGAAGTAGAACAGCCAGGATGATTTTGAAAAAGAATAAAGTTGGAGGATTCACATTATCTGATTTCAAGACTTATTAGAAAACAATGACCATAACAATGTGGTACTGGAAAATTACAGGTCAAAGGGAGAGTCCAGAAATCGATTCACATATATAGTCAATTCAGTTTTGACTAAGTTAATTCGATGGATAGAGATAGGTGTTTCCAACAAATGGTGCTAGAGTCAGAAAAGTGAGCCCTGACCCTTATCTCACACCACATAAAAAATTAACTCAAATGGATGATACACCTTGACATAAAAGCCAAAACTATAAAACTTGTAGAGGAAAGCATAAGAGGAAATCTGTACAACTTTGCACTAAGTGAATTTAGGAACACAGAAACACGAGTCATAAAAGAAAAAACTGACAAACTGAATTTAATCAAAATTAAAAGTGCCTCTATTTTCAAAAGGAAAATGAAAAGGTAAGCTTCAGACTGCAATGTGTGTATATGTGTCTGTGTGAGTCAAAGGACTTGTATAAAAATGTATAAAGAATTCTTACAACTCGTAAGACAAACTCCCCAATGTTAAAAAATGGTGAAAGATTTGAATAGATACTTCATAAAGAAAGACATAGAAATGACCCATTAATACGCAAGTAAATCCTCAGTGTTATTTATCAGATAAATACAAATTAGTTACAGTGCAATAGTACCACATATACGTTAGAGGGGCAAACATTAAAAAGACTGAAATAACCAAGTGTTGATGACAATGTAGAGCAACTGGAATTGTAAAATGGGAACAGTTTGGCAGATTCTTATTTTAAACATTCACTTACCATATAATCTAACAAACCCATTTCTAGATATTTACCCAAGAGAAACAAAAACATATGTTCACACGAAAGCTCATGAATGAATGTTCACAGCAGCTTTATCAATAACAATCCAAACTGGAAATAATCCAAATATCCATATATAGGTGAATGGCCAACAAACTAGTAAATACCATGGATTCAGCAATAAAGTCATGAACCAGTAAAGCACAAAAACATGGATGATCCTCAAAAACATCATGCTGAGAGAAAAAAGGTCAGATGCAAAAGAGTATATATTATATAACCCCATTTATATAAAATTCTAGAACAAGTAAAACCAATTTGTAGGAGAAAAAGAGGACAACTGGTTTCCTGGAGCTAAGGATGAAAATGTGACTTACTACAAAAGAGAAAGGAACTTTAGAGATGACAGAAATATTCTATATCTTGATGTGGTAATGAAAATACACTTCGTTGTGGTGGTGGTGACATTGGTGGTATAAACTCTGCCACAATACACTGAGCTGTACATTTTAAATATATACATTTTATTGTATGTAAGTTGAGTCTTTAACTCAACTTACATACAATAAAGTTGAGTCTTTATAAAGGAGCTCTCTTGGGAAAATATTACCCAGGTCATATTGGTGATGTTTTACATAACTACTCTATAAAGATGTTAAAAATACTAATGAAATTCAACACCCATTTACGGTTTTTTAGAAATGAAAAACAACAAAATTATCTTGGAAAGCCAAGAATAGAAGAAAATAATTTAATGTTTTCTATTTATCAGAAAGCTTCAACAAAACATAATTGATGCTAAAATATCAGAAACACTCCCCTTAAAGTTAGAACACCAAGTTTTTAGCTCTCACTGCTATTATTCAACATTATACAGGACATATAACCAAAGCAATGAGGAAAACACGTAAGGTATAAAAACTGAAAAGAAAGGCACAGAACTGCATATTTTTGATAATCATCAATTCAATGAAGTAATCAGATAAAAAAAAAATCCAAAGTTTTCCTATAACCAGAAAAAAATGAGAAAATGTTACTGAAAATTTCCATCCACCAAAGCAATCAAATCATAAAACGGCTAGAACTATTAAAAAGAAATGTTATACCTTTGGGGAAAAAAACTATAGAGCTTTCTTTAAAAATATAAAGCAAGATGTGAATAATAGAAAGATAGCATACATACAGATATTTCTGAGAGAGAGTATCATAAAGCTCAATTCGCTCCAAAATAATCTAAAATTTAAATATAACCTTACTGAAAATACCTAAGAATTTTTTATTTAATTTACAAGTTGAGTTTAAAGTTCATCTGGAGAAATAAATAAAACAGTTAAGAATAACTGTGAAAAGAGGAATAAGGAGGAAAAAATGGTTATCAAAGTTTAAAATATGCATACCCCTTAATCCAGCAATTCCATTTCTAGGAATCCATGCTCCAGAAATAATCACATAGAAAGTTTCCCAAACAGTTGACTCTTAGGATGAAAGAAGGACTAGAAGTGGGAGAAGAATCTTACAATCATCCATATTGTGTAAATTTTTAAAATGAGGAAGATTTAAAGTTTGCAATTAAAAACTAATCAATAAATTAAAAAGTTGGCTTTAAAGAAAGCATTACTTTGATTGCAAAAGGAAACTAAATGTCTTTCAGTAAGGGAATGCTTATATAAATTATAGCCCATTCAAACTAATAAAATATCCCTTAGCCTTTTAAAAGTATTAGGGGGGATCTATGCAACAAGTAAAGATGTCCAAGGTATAAAATTAAAAAAAAAAGCAAAGGATATACCAATGTGTTTGGTATGCCCCACCCCTCAACAACTTTACATTGTGTTTAAAAGTGCATTTAAAAAGATGCTGTAAAATTGTTAACTCCAGACACTGAAATGGGACTGGAGGGGGAGGGGGAGGGGGGAAAAGAAATGTTATTTTATCTAACAGTCTTTTTCTATATTGTTGAATTTTACATCGAACTTGTATTTCTATAATTAACTTAAAAAAGTTAAAGTTACTGCATATAAAAATGACGTGAAGTCCATAAAACAAATAAATAGAAAAAATAGTTTTAATGTTTATTTCTGGTATCTTCATGTTTATTTACATACTCTTCCAATGATTTGTAGTCTTCAGCAAAGGTGACTGCCATTTTAAAGAAATCTGACCAAACAGTTCAGGATAAAAATAACAATATATTAAGCCTTTTTTAAAAAATCAGAAACTTCACAGAACCAGCAGATCCACAGCAGTGTCTGTCTATGCGTACGTAAAAAATAAAAATAATGCCTGGAGTGGTAAATCTCATGAATAGAGTATTATTCCTCCCTGCAAAACGACTATTTACCTTCTTCTTTCTTTAACTTGATCTGAGAGGCTTTAAACTCACCATTTTGAATATGCGCAAAATGATTAAAAGCAGTAATCTTAGGGAGGCCACAAAAGAGGTGCTTTGATCCGACATCGTTAGTGGAGAGAAGCATTGATGGAATGGTGCTAATATCGGGAGAACGACTGCTATGGTATGTACAGGATGTCTGCGTGCCCGAGCCTCAGGGACAATCGGGAAAAACGCAAATACAGCCAGCAGAGAGACGGTAACGGAAGGTTTTTCGGGAGAGGGGGGCTGAAGGCCTATGGCGTAAGATGGACCAGCTCTAAACTGGGTGAAAATGGGCAGAGAAGGTGGGGGGAGGGAGGCGGTGTTAGTGAGGAAACACTCAAACAGTCGCGAGTGAGGGGAGAAAGGCAGCGGGGTCCTTGGCCAAGGTACCAAGGACAGCAGTAGCAGCCGGAGAAAGCGGACGGTGGAGACCCCCGACACCAACCGATGTCATCCGCCAGAGGCCGCGGGGCGCGGCAGCCGCGGCCACGGCCACGAGCGCGGCCCCAGGTCCGGGCTGGACAAGGCCCAAGAGGCGAAGAAGGCCTCTTACGGCCATCAACCCCACCCACCATGGCCGGCGCAGCGGGCAAAGGACAGGCCCCACTCCCTCTCGAGGAGAGAAATTAAGAAATGGAGGAGGTGAAGGTAGCAATTTCCTCGCCCCGACCCTCACAGACCCGATGTGAGAACAAGCCAGATTTAAAAAAAAAAAAAAACCCTCACCGAACCGTGCAGCGGCTCCGGAGCGAGAACAGCGCTCGGTCCTCCACCCGCCACCACCGCCTTCTTCTCCGCCTCCAACTCCTCCCCCGCCGAACGCGCAGCGGC